ATAGCACCAGGTCCCAGGTTAAAGACTCAGTCCTGCCAGACGGAAGTTCATGTCGGACACTGTTTCCAAGTCCAGGCTGCCACCTGTGTTTCGCACTGAACCATTCTAGACCAGAGGTTCCCAAGACCTCCTCCTTCTCGTTGGTTGTGATTAATTTTCTAGAGCAGCTCGCAGAACTCAGGGAAGTACCTACTGGACCACTGGTTTATTACAAAGGGCTACAGCTCAGAGTAGCCAGAGGGGAGAGACGCATGGGGCAAGGTGTGTGGGAAGGGGCACCCCTCCCCCCTCTGAGCACTATCCCCAAATCTCCACGTGTTCACCAATCCAGCAGCTCTCAGAACTCCTGCCCGTTTTTTCTTCCTTTCTGTGGAGGACTCACTACATAGGCGTGATCGATGAAATCAGGGGTCATTGGTCATCGCATTTCCAGCCCCTCCACCCTCCTCGCAGGTCAGGAAGGAGAAATGGGACTAGAAGTTCCAAACCTCTAGTCACAGGGTGGGTTCTCCTGGCAAGCAGCCCCCATCCCTAGGGTAACCTGGGGGCTTTCCAAACGTCACTTCATTGCTATCACAAAAGATGCCCCTCAACATTTAAGAAATTCCAAGGGTTTTAGGAGCTCCGTGCCAGAAATGGTGGAGGAAGACCAAATATACATGATAACTCACAGTGACTCAGGCCCCGAGAGAGGAAGACCCTAATCCAAGGTCACACGGCCAGTTGCTGTCCAGGCTGAGCTGAGGCCCGGGTTTCCTGACTCCCTGTCGGGTGGTGCCCTTGCCCTTCAGAGAGGCAGGGAGAGGAGGGAGGCAGCCAAGTGGGGCAGGGCGGGCCCTCGGGGCTCCTCAAAGGCCATTGGCCAAGGGACCTGTGGGTAGAGCTTCTTTTTGAGTTAGACTTCCTCAGCTCTCACCCCAGCGGGGCGGGCGGATCCCCCCTGAGCGACGGGGAGGAGGAGAGGCCCAGAGAGGGCGTGGCTGGCCTCCCGTGGCACAGCAGGTAAGCCAATCTCACCTAGAACTTTGGAGCAAAAGCTGATTTGACCACAGCTCCGGCGCCTCACACACGCCTTGCCCACACCACACCCCCATCACACTGTGACCTTCTCCGGCCTCTCTGCCTCCAGGGCTTCAGGGCTCCTGCAGGCTCTGTGTCCTCTCCTCCCATGACCAAGCTCCCTGGGCCGGCCGCCGTGTGGCCCGAAGTGCCCACGCTATTTATTCCCTAGTGAAAAGTCGGCCTCGGTGGCCCAGGGGAGATTAAAGCCGAGATTTACTACGAGATGATTAACCATAAAACCACAGGCTAAATCAACATTAGACACGGAGAAGGGGGGGTGGGGGAAGGACAGGGGTCTGGGAAGAGTTACCCGAGCGGGCACATTTGCCCAGGTGCCCAGGATGCTATTGTCCCCCGGCTTCTGCTTAGAGAAGGCGGCGGGGGGAACCTGGGTCTGATTCCGGCCCCTCTCGCTGAGTGCCTACAGTCTCTTCCACCCTCTGGACCTCAGTTTCCCTGTTTATCTAATGCAGAAACCGGGATGGGGCTTCTTGCTTGGCACCAGTGGGAAGAACTTGGATTTTGGCACCAGATAGATGTGTGCTTGCAATCCAGTGTTGCTGTGTCCCGGGGTGGCCTCAGGAAGGTCACTTCGCTAAGGCTCAGTTTTCTCCCCATGGGAACAGTAGTAAGAGGTGATGGCAACAAGGCTGAAGATGGTAAGAATAGCAGTGACAGCTTAACACTTACTGGGGGGGGCTTACCTGCACTTCCGTGTACCTGGAGAACACCCCTTGGTCTCAGCCTTTCACCTTGTTGAATCGCCTTGTTGAGGGTTGTGGAATCTTCGCAGCCTCACTGTGGGTACTGTTGCCACCTCCATCTTGAGGATGAGGAGGAGGAGGAGGGTTTCCCAGCAAGGCTCCATGGCACCTCGGCCGGCAGGTCCCTGGCTGCCTGGCCCTGCGCCGGGCTGTCTCCTCAGCCTCAGCCTGGAGACCTCAGCCGCCTTCGTCCTCTGGCGGCTCCACTCCACTGAGGGCAGCACCCTCTCCACTGAGGTCCGAATCCCAGCTTTTCAGCGACTGGTTCTTTCAGTTTTGTTTCCTCTTGCGTACGCTGCCTCAGCTCCATACACCAGTTATTTCTGTTTAATTTAGAGTCCTCTTAGCTTCTTTGTGGTTAATCCCATTACTAGATGATAATTCTTTATGTGAAACTTTCCCTGATAAAATTGTTACTGACTACATCCAGACTGATACAGAAACTGGTCCCAGGATATAGATCAGCAAAGATGTGTGTGTGTGTGTGTGTGTGTGTGTGTGTGTGTGTGTGTGTGTGTGTGTGTACATATCCCTTTAAAAACATAAAAAAACAGTTTTAGGTCACGGGCCATGCAAAGACAGACCGTGGACCAGACTCGGCACACAGGCCTGGCTTGTCAGTCCCCGTACTGGAGACACTGTCCGCTAGAAGAAGGGAAAGACCCAGACCTTTTAGGGATTTCTAGACACTGGCTATGAGGTGACGCTCAGTCCTGGGTCCCAACATGCCACTGTGGTCCCCATCCAAGAGGGATTTACAATGGCCAGGTGAAAGGTGGAGTCTTACTTCAAGTTCACCTCACAATGGGCCAAGCCAGTTATTTCCCTAGTTTCTGAAAGCGGGATTGAAATAGACACACAAAGCAAGTGGCAGAATCCCCATGTTGGCCCTTTGCTCAGGGAAGGTTAAGTAGAAGTCCCTACAACTTCCCTTCCCTAGGAAGGTAGTAAGCCCCAGGTGGTAATGCTTTCAGGGAAGGGGGTGCAGATTGCAAAGATTAATGCCTCCTTTGCAACTTGAAGGAAGCAGGGGTGCTTCTAAATAGGCGTGTTGACCTGGCTGGTGTAGCTCAGTGGATTGAGGGCACGGGCTTGTGGACTAAAGGAGCGCTTGTTCGATCCCACTCAGGGCACGTGCCTGGGTTGCAGGCCAGGTCCCCAGGAGGGTGCTTGTGAGAGACAACCACGTATTGATGTTTCTCTTCCTCTCTTTCTCTTTCCCTCCCTGTCTCTCTATAAATAAATAAAATCTTTTAAAAAATAGGCTTGTTGACTAACCTGGTGAACTTGCTCAGAAGTTAGATGGCTCTTGGAGCATGGCTGTGGACCAGTGTAAGGGTGTAAGGATTATTGTGAGCATAGTTAGGTGATGGCTCAACCACAGCTATTTCCCAGATGTGCTATTGTTGCTGGAGCAAATTAACACGGCCCCCGGCAATGGGAACACAGCTATTGACCCGGCTGATGCCCTTTTCTCTACACCAGTTTTGTGAGGACCACGAGGAGCAGTTTTCTTTGACCTGGCAGGGCCGACCGTACACCGTCTGAATCTTGACAAGGGGTATGGTGAGTCTTCTGCTATTGCCCATAATGCAATCTCGGCTGTCTTGACATCCACAAAACATCACACTGGTCCATGCCCACCCCACAGCAGAGTCATCCGCGAAGCTGCTGGTTTTGAGCAGAAGCCCAGGTGGCCTCTGCAGTAAGACCAGGCTACGCGGCAAACTGCTCTACCCCTTTGGCCTTAGGATACAACAGATGCAATGATCTTTGAAGTGTCTGTGGCAAAAAGAAATGCTGTTTGAAGACTCTGGCCAGCGCCACTTGGAGAGTTGCGGTGCAGATTCTAGGACTACGTAGTGAATCTATGCCCGGCCCTTGTGGTGGCCTGTTCTGACTTCCTCTGACGAACCTTGTGGGGTCAGGGGGTGTGTGCTGTTGGAGCAGGGCCGTCTCGTGGTCAGGAGCACTGGATGGAGGAGACACATGGGGGAGAGTTTGAGTCCTGGCTCTGTCACTTGTTAGCCGTGGGTCTTGACACAAATTACTTGACCTCACTGCACCCACAACCCCTCACCTGTTGCGTGGACCTACCATCCTGCGTCGCAGGGCTGTTTTGGGGATTGCATCACCGAGCTTCACTCTGTGCGGGCGCTCTCCCCGGTGCTCTGCTTGCAGGGACTCGCTGTTCCCTGTGAGAACCTAATGAGGGAGGCGCTATCACTATCCCCACTTCCGGGCGGGAACACGGGGCACAGAGCGGTCTGGTAGCTTCCCGTGGGTTGGAGCTGGTGAGTGGAAGAGCTGGCGCTTGAGCCCAGACTGGGTGGATGCAGGCTCTTTGATCTTAAACCCTGGGCTATAAAGTGTCCCCATAGAACCGAGTACGGGGCTGGGAAAACCCTCAGCCAGTGTTTCCCCGAGAATGGTCTGCATGCCCACGGTCTGCCCGAGCACTTAGGTGAGGGATAGGTGCTACACAAAATACAGATTCCCTGGCCCCACTCCCACTAAATCAGAATCTCTGGGTGGGGCCAGGGAACATGCATTTTAAACAGACACACCTGCCCCAAGGTGCTTCTTCAGCAGCCTAAAGACGGAGAACCAGGGGCTGAGAGAGCCTGTAATCGATCATGCTTTCATTTCATGCATTTTCAGCGGAAGAGCTGGCGTTCTGGCCTCTGGAGTCAGCCTTGCTGAAAACCAGCTGCAGAACCTCAGGTGCCCCTGATTTTCCTTCTGTGCGATGGAGGTCCTGGTCTGCAGGGCCCCCTCTCAGGACACAGGAGCGCACGGAGGTGGCCGGGGCTGCAGATGTCCTCTGGGAACAGGGCAGCCGCCGGAGTCTCTCAGATCTGGGGACTGAGGTTGGCTCTGCGGTTAATGTGACTGGGCATGTCGTGCCGCTCCCGAGCCTTGGTTTCGTGTCCTTACAATTACTAAGATAACAGTTCCTACCTGACTCTGGTTATGGCAAGATCGAATGAGGCAGGACAGCTTACATAAATCTCCCAGCTCCCATAAACATAAATTATTACACATTTTATCTGCTCTAGTTTCGAAAACCTCCAGGGACACCGGAAACTGACAGGCGACTCTCGCTGCAGAGATTTTGCTGATGCTAGGGTGGAATCAGGATGGAATCTTTCCCCGTCCCTTTTCCCAGTTCGGTGAGAGAAGGACAGGGAGCTGAATAGCTGTCCAGGTATGGCTGGGTGGAAACCGCAGCCGAACAGAAGCCACGGCCTGACGACGAAGGGCGTGCGGTGTCCGAGTGAGCTGGGCTGCCTTTCGCCTCTGCTACAACCTGTCCACAACCACACGGAGGTGCATACCCCGTCCCTGTCCATCCCCCTCCACCCCAGCCCGGCCCAGCCCAGCCCAGCCCAGCTCAGCCCAGCCCAGCCCAGCCCGACCTCATCAACCCTGAGGACCGGGAGTCTGCTGGTCTGCATCTCCGTGTTCCCAGCTCACGGAGTTTACTAGAAGTTCCTGGACTCCAGCTTAGCTCCCCAGGCTGGTCACAGGAGAGGTCACTGACGTGGCTTCCTTGATTTCTTTCTCCAAGGCGGTCTCTGGAAGGGCAAGGAGGGGACGGCTCCGCTGAACATCTGAAGTCACAACAAAGTCCCTGCTGCTCGGGAACTTCCATTCACATGGGCGTGTTACAGACAGCGAACGATAAACACAGTGAATAAGTAAATTATACTGTACGTTCAGATATGATGAGAGCAGGACAAGGGGCATTGGAAGAGCCGGGGGAGGGTCTGCATTTTCAGGGGGTCAGGGTGGCTCGCTGAGGAGACCGGAGGGAGGACTGCAGGAGGAGGGGGAGGCTTCTGGCGCCCTGGGGTGCTGGTCGGTTGCCGTGCTGGCTCAGCACGCTGGCGGTTCTGTGCCAGGGGTTTCACACATCTGAACGGAGGCCTCGTCTCCTCTGGAGGAAGGATGTCTGGGCCACCATCTGCCCTCTCCACCCCCCTGCTCCCCTCCCCTCCCACCCCTTCTCCCCACAGGAGCCAGGGTGAAGCTTCCACACGGATCTGACCCTTTACTGATTAAAACCTCCTGTGATCTCCATTACCCTCAGAACAAAGCCCAAAGTTTTGATAATTGGCTGCTCAGAGCTGCCCTACTACCTAGCCAGCCTTGGCCCAGCTCACTGCTACTCCAAGTGCGGGGCTCGGCCTTCTCCAGGAAGTCCTCGTTGCCTCTCCGCCCACCCCAGCCCCTGCCCTTTCGGAGTGTTCCCACAGAACCCCGTGCCCCCCAGCACAGCCCTCGGTCCCGGTGGCAGCTGATGGTTGAAGGCCTGAGGGCCCTCTGGTCAGAGGACCTGTGAAGAAGGGGTGGTGTCTGACCTTTGTTCCCAGGTTCTTGGCACCAGGGGCCAGGCTGGGCACACAGTAGGAGCACAGCCCATCCCTGCTGACTGTGGAGATGGGTGGCTGGTCAGAGGCAGCGGTGGGGGGACAAATGCACGGCCAGCCCCTCCATCACCCCCTCCCCAGGGACAGCGGAAGGAGTCCGCGGACGGAGAGAAATGGCTCTGCATCCAGAAGCTCATTTGATTTAATTTCACGATTGTTTAGGTCTTTTTTCTTCCTTGACAGCTATGGATTGGGAAATAATCTGAAAATCAATCTTTTTCTCTTCCTCCAAGTTCGCCCAGGCCCCCTGCTTGGCTCCGCTGACTGTCTGTGGGAGCGGATGGACTGTTCACACGGTCCTGTTGGTGCTGACAGATGTTTTTCAGGACAGCGGAGCAAGGATGCTCTTCCCCCACTGGCCTGGATCTCCCGGTGGGAGCTCAGAGCAGTCCTGCGCACCGCACAGGGGGAGCATCCGGAAGCCCGAGAAGCCCTGGCTGTGAGGACAAAGGAGGCGATATCCTCACGACCGGTCACCTTATGTCACCCCAGGATACCGGTGGGTCCTGCAGGGCTTCCACCCCTCTCAGACCGTCCTCTCCATCCCGGGGCCCTGGGGCCTCCACACCCCTGAGGACAGATGTGTGGGCTGGTGAGGGTGTCCCGGAGGCAGGCAGGCAGGCACAGACTGAGCGCAGAGTCCAGATCGGGACTCACACTGAGAACTTCAGGTTCATGTTTGAGCTCTGTCCCTTTTCAGCCCAAACCTTGGAATGCAGGGGTCACGAGCTCTAATGACTGGGGGCAGGTCAGTCATGTAAGTGAGTGACCGGATGAAGACAGCGGGGATAATCAGCGGTGGAGGGAAGTGTGGGTAGCAGGAGAGGGCAGGTCCCGTCGGTGGAGAACTGGAGGGAACCCAACAATAGCTCTTACTGCGAACCGGCCTGTGTCCACACGTGTTAGTTCATTTATGGCTCTTGAGGACCCCGAGGTAGGCACTCGAGATACACCTGTCGTGCGGACGATGTAATGGGCCCAGAGGGGCATGTTACTTGTCCAAGGTCACCCAGGCATCTGGACCCCAAAGCCTGCGCTGCTCTTGAAGATGAGCTTGTCTCCTGGTAACTGTTGCCGTGTGGGACTTTTAGAATGCAGTGTCCTGATTTCTTACTTTTTTCAAGAGAAATCAGAGATCTTGTGAGATTTTTTTCTATGAAATGTCCACATTTTTATGACGCTGTGGATGTCAGGCAAATTCCATCTGGGAGTAGGATTCTTTTTTATTAAATTATTAAATGTTTCATATTTTATTGATTATGCTATAACAGCCGTCCCAATTTCCCCCCTTTGTCCCCATCCATCCCATACCCCGTACTTCCTCCAGCAATCCCCCCCGTTAGTTCATGTCTGTGGGTCATGCATATAAGTTATCTGGCTTCTCCATTTCCTATACTGTTCTTAATGCCTCCCTGTATATTCTGTACCTACCAGTTTGTACTTCTTAATCCCTGCACCTTCCCCCCATTCTCCACCTTCCCTCTCCCGACTGATAACCCTCCAAATGATCTGCATATCTATGATTCTGTTTCTGTTCTGCTTGTTTGCTTAGTTTGTTTTTTAGATTCAAATGACTTTCGATATCATTTTCTAAATGATAGCTTTGCTGAATAGAGTAATTTAGGTTGTAGGTCCTTTTCACCACTTTGACTACTTCTTGCCAGTCCCTTCTAGCCTACAAAGTTTCTTTTAAGAAATCAGCTGACAATCTTATGGGAACTCCCCTATAGTTAACTTACTTCTTTTCTCTTGTGTTTTAAGATTCTCCCGTTATCTTTAACCTTTGGCATGTTACTTACATTGTGTCTCGGAGTGGTCCTCTGTGTCCACCTTGTTTGGGCCTTTCTGTCCTTCTTGGACTTGTGTGCCCATGTCTTTCACCAAATTAGGAAAGTTTTCTTTCGTTATTTTTTCGAATAAGGTTCCAGTCTCTTGATCTTTCTCTTTTCCTTCTGGCACCCCTATGATTCGAATGTTGGTATGTTTGAAGTTGTCCCAGAGACTCCTTAGCCTATCCTCGTTTTTTGAATTCTTTTTTTTCTTCTTGTTGTTCTGATGGAATGTTTTTTTCTTCGTTATGTTCCAAATCATTGGTTTGATTCTTGGCTTCATCCACTCCACTGTTGATTGATTCCATGTAAATTTCTCTTTATTTCACTTAGTACAACTTTCATTTCTGCCTGGGTCTTTTTTATGCTGTTGAAGTACCCAGTGAGTTCCTTGAGCACCCTAATAACCAGTGTTTTGAACTTTGCATCCGATAAATTGTTTATCTCCATTTAGTTTAGTCCTTTTTCTGGAGTTTTGTTTTGTTCTTTCATTTGGGCCATGTTCCTTTGTTTCCTCATTTTGGCAGCCTCTCTGTGTTTATTTCAATGTATTAGGTAGAGCTGTTTTGACTCCCTGTCTTAATAGTATGGCCTACTCTAGAAAAGTGCACCTATAAGCTGGATGGGGCAGAGCCTTAGGAAACTGCCAGGGTGGGGCAACCCGTGTCAACTAGGTTGCTCACAGAGCACCCAGGCCTCCTCATATATGGCTTCTCCACTCTGTTGCTCCATGTTGGGCAGGGCCCAGAGAAGGGATGATGGCTGCTGCTTGTCCAGGATGCTGTCCCCCAGCACTCAGCTTGACACCAGACACAGCAGCTTCTCCCTCCATGCCACTGGTGCCCTTCCAGCTGCTGCCCCAGTGCTGGAGTCCAGAGGGACTGAGTCTTCATAAGACCTAAGTCTATCTCTGACCCTTTCAGAGGAGATGCCTGAGAATCCCGCAGTTTTTTTCTGCCGCCCATCCCTACACTGGTTTTTACAGCCAGAAGTTATGAGCACTTCCTGGCAGTGGAACCCAAGGCTGGGTGATCTGGGGTGGGACTGCGATCCCTTGCTACTGAGGCATGCCTCCTGATTTTCATTCACCACACGTAGGTATGGGACTATCTGTTCTGCATCTCTGTGTCTCCACCCCTCCCACCCCACACTGGATGAATGTGACTTTAATTTCTTGGTTGTCAGACTTCCATACAGCTCAATTTTCTGATGATTCTGGGTGATAGTTGTTTTGTATTTTAGTTGTAATTTTTGCTATGGTTGTATGAGGAGACGAACTGTGTTTACCTACACCTCCATCTTTGTTCTTCTATGTATTTTATTGTGTTAGGTCTTGCATGCAAGTCTTTAATCCATTTTGAGTTAATTTTTGTGTATGGTGTAAGAGAGTGGTCTAGTGTTATTCTTTTTCATGGGACTGTCCAATTTTCCCAACACTATTTATTAAAGACCTTTAACCATGGCATATTGGCTCCTTTGTCATAAATTTGTGCCCATATATGTGTGTGTTTATTTCTGGGCTCTCGTTTTTGTTCCAGTGGTCTGTGTGTCTGTTTTTCTGCCTATATACTGTTTTGGTTACTATATCTTTGTAGTATAGTTTATGCAGGTTTATTACTATAGGTTTATTAGATGGCCTCTCAAGTTCTCCTATTCCTGTGCTTTTCACCCACATTTTCTGACTCTCAAGAGCCATCTTACATCTTAGGCCTCAGTTTGGAACTGTAACTATTTTTTGCATCCACGTTTCATTGGCCAAAGCAAATTATATGGCCAAACCCAAGATCAGTGTGGCAGGCAATCATACCTTGCCTATTCCAGCGCTCTGCAAGGCTACCTGGCAGAAGCAGAAAGGGAGTGAAAGGCTGGGAACAAAAAGCCAACTGACGTATGTGACACTGCAGACTCAGAGTCACAGAGCACCCAGGCCTCTCACAGCACCCTCCATCTGAGTTGTCCCAAGTCCTCCAGGTTGGTGCAGTCCTCCTTTCATGTCTTGTCATCTGCCTTGAGCCCCATCTCATGTTCTGTTCATGTCCCGGGGACTGCCTGAGAGACCTACAAATTCCCTGGGGGCTCTGGGGCTCCTGAACACAGCTTCTTCTGGTTTTCTTTCCCCTCTATTTTTTTTCCATTTCCTTTCCATGTCTGTTCTCCACCTCCATTGCACACTAAGCTTAGGGCTTATGTTTGCATAATCAAAAACTCTCGACTTGCTTGACTGAGCAAAAAGGCATCTCATTCTGAGCTTCTCTTTAGCATCATAAAATGCTTATGTGTTTTTTTTTCCCCTTCCTATTAACATTCTGTGGCACAGTAAACTACCTGCCTGGGTAAAGGAATAAACTAAAGGGAAATAGTATAAAGATTTATCTCATACTATTTTTTTTATGCAGTTACAGTGTTGAGGGAGTGTCCTTTCTTTCTTCCTGCTGCTAATATTAGCATGGCGAGGGCCCTGAGAAACATGGTGGTGAGGAAGCCAGTTTACTGTTGTTTAGTTCAGCTTTTCCAAAACTTACTTGGTCGTGGAACATCTTTGTCATGGAGCTTCTGTTAATACATGAAAGCCCAAGGCGCGAGAAAGCCATAGAGTCAAGGGTGGTCGTCAGGATTAAATGGGGGAAGGTGAGGCCCGGATATTTGTTGGTGACCAGTCAGTGGCAGCCCCCTCCTCCAGAGCCCACCCCCTCCATTGATCCTGAAAAATTGTTCAAATGTGGACACTTCTGAGAGTGAAAGGAGGCAGTATTAATGATTACACCAAGGCAGCAGGTGACGTAAACCGGACTGTCCTGGGCAAAGTGGGGCATGTGATTCCTTCCCCATCTGCTTCATGGCTGGCGGTGGTCTCAGATGAGCTATGAATTCTCTGTAGGCCTCAGTTTCCCCACCTAGATATTCAGTTATTGTTTTTTTTCACTTATTCAATCATTCAACAAACATGTAACAGACACTCCTAAGTCCTAGCACTGTCTAGGCCTTGAGGAGCCAACAGTGGCATGAAATACTTCCTGTTTCAAGGGGATCAGCCTACAGAAGATAATGGGATTGTTCGGGGATCTTGGTCTCTGATGCACCTGGACCTTTAACCCTCAATCCATGAGCAGAGCCCAATCTAGAAGGGCCTTTCTGTGGTGGATCCTCGGCTGGGACAGAAGGAGGATCCCATAGCATTTGGAGGCTTCACCGCACCTGTGCTGGTTTAAATGACTTCCCGCGCTGGAGTCCCAGGGGAATGGGGGACACAGGGGCACTTCCTCCTCCAGCCAGGAGGGGCGCCCATCACAGCTCACCTGCTGCTCTGAAGAGTGGTTATCTGTCCAGGGTCATTAGAGCCCCTGGCCTCCTGGAGACTCCCCCACCCTGTCCCCCCACCAGCCAGTCTTGATGGCAGCGGAGGGGCCACTCCCAGGAAGTGAGAGGGAGGAAAATGACCTTCTGCTCTACTTCACCGCCTGTTTGGATTGGCAGCTGCAGCAACAGCTTATGTCCTGCCAAGCCTGATAACAGAACTGTCATGGTCCGTGGACAGCCTGGCCCTGGGAGGTGAGCGGAGGGTTCCAGGAAATTGTGGTGATTGCCTGCAATTTGGGACACCTTAAATTAGGCTGCCCTGCTGAGTGACTTCAGACTCTGCAAATTGAATCTTAAGCAGGGCCTCTTACTTCCCTCAGCCCCGAGTCTTAAAGCTTTCCTCAAAGACCGTCACCACTAGAGACAGCTGGTTTTGGGCCTGAATCCCTGTGTGGGACTCTCGATAAGTTACTTCAGGGGGGCAATATTTCACAGGGATAATAAGTGTGCCAGGCAGGGTACTTTTCTTTATAAGGGAAAGAAATGCAAACGAAGAACTAGAGGCTTATTAAATGAGAGGTCCAGGTCAATTTCAGGTGTGGCTGGATCCAGGTGATCAGATACGGTCTTCAAGAACCCAGCTCTCCCTATGACTTGGCTGGTGTTTTTCTCCTTTCCATTCCTCTACATTTTCACACCCCCCCTCTTCCTGGAGGCTTCCAGAAGTTCCAGCAGAAGGGAGAGCTTTACTAACCTAATAATTCAAGAGAAAGTTTCAGAATAGAATTTCATCGGTCATTCCTGAGGTAGGTGTCCATCCCTAAGCTGACTGCTATGGCCAGAGGTAATGTGCAATATTTCCAATTGTTAATTGGCCAGACTGAGGTTGTGTGCCCGCTTCCTGGAACCCAGCCACCAGGGACATAGGAGGCAGTGGCGGTGGGTCTCCAAAGGAAAATAGAGGAGACGGTATTCTAGAGAAAGGAAGTCATTTTCATTCAGGTAAAAATAGCCTCCAGAGCAGGGATAAGATTGAAAATACTGGCTAGCAGACCAAGGGCACCCACCCAATAGGGGTTGGAGGCAGCCAAATCTGGAAAGGACCCTGAAGCCCAAGGCTGGATACAAGTCTTAAGTGGGACAGTTTAGAGGTTGGAGGGCACCCGGAGAGGGGCTGGGGCAGTGTGAGAGCACTCGGGGGCTCAGGGTGGCAACTAGAGCCAAACAATGAGGACATTTCTGTATTTCATTAACTGCTCTGGCTGTTCCAGTGAGTCCTGGGGAGCAGTCCTCAAGGGCTACTGCCCCTGCCCAGACCACCACCCTTATTTTCTTGGGTCGACACCTGCATTTGCAGTGTCCTCAGGCTTGTGCATGTACCTTCTCTTTAGATCCTTATTAACAAGTGTGCACCACTGTTCACTCCCTGGAAAGTGGGCATTCGCGTGGGCAGGTGGCCAGGGAGCAGTGGGCCCAGCATTCCCACAGTCTCTCGAGCAGTGCTGGAGCTACGTCGGGCTTTCTTAGCTCTGTTTGCCTGGAAACATTTGGCACTTATTGGTGTTGGCACCTCCCCTACATTAACTCATTTAATCCTCACGGCCATCTCATGAAGGGGACACCATTATTAGTCTCGTTTTACAGATGAGAAACAGAGGCTCACTGAGGTTCAACAACTTGCCCATGGTCAAACAGTTAGTGGCAAGGCTGAGATTTGAACCTCAGACACATGGCTCCTTGTGAGGATGCAATGAGGCAATGAAGGCATGCACTGCGAATGCCCGGCACGGGGTCAGTGCTCAGTGAAGTGGTCCTGACTGTGATCAGCTCCCGGCTCCATAAACTCGCACTGGGTGCCTGCTGCCTGCGAGGGCTGTGCCAGGGCCTGGAGGTCGGGGCTTTGACTCAGGTGTGAGAAGACAGGATTCTTGACCCCTGCGAGGAGGTACTCAAGAAAGATGAGCTTACACGGACAAATCACGCTGTTTAACATAAGGATCACAAGAAGGTTCAAGGTGTTGAGGTCAGTGGTGGCTGGAGACACCCATCAAGGGGAAGACAGTCAGGATGGGCTTTTTGGCAGAGGCTGCAGACGAAACATGGGCTCTCATTGGAGGCCATGAGAGATGCATGTGTAGTCGAAGCCAATGGCATTCCCTTGGTAGAGGTATCAGAACCCTACTCAAGCTACAAACAGAGGGGATTCAGGACCTGCATGCCTGCCCAGGCCTAGGGGCAGGAGGGGGACCCAAACTTAGAACAGAGAGGGCAGGGGAGAGGGCAGCACTGGGGGTCTCTCTCAGGGTCCTGAGTCCCTGCTCCTCTCACACGTCATGATCCTCCCCACCCACCTCCTCACTGTGTCCAGGCACGTGACGGAATGCTACTGCAGAGACCTCGGGTTTACATGTTACAGGTCTGGCCAAGTAAAGAATTAACTCATGGTCTAATTCCAAACTTTCGACTGGCCCAGTTTGGGTCAGGTGCCCACTCCTGGCCCAGCCACCTGTGCTGGGCTGCAGGGTGATGCACGAAGTGGGGTCTCACAGTCTGGGATGCAGGCCGTGGGGAGGCCTCTCACAGGGAGAATGACAGTGACAAAGCAGGGCGGGCGTTCTGGAGGTGGAAGGGCATACGCGTGGCCAGGAACAGCCAATCAGATGCTTGGGTTCCAGGTGAGGCCCGATCTGGTCTCCCATCCTCACTGACCTTCTCCCTCTTTCCTGCCCCCTCCCTCCACTCCAGCCCCACTGGTCTCCTGGCTGTCCTGTGACCCACTGGTCCCTCACTGGTCTCCTGGCTGTCCTGTGACCATGGCTAGTACATTCCCACCCCAGGGCCTTGGCGCGAGCCCTTCCCAGTGTCTTGATGCTTGTTCACCTCAAATTCACAGAACTCACCCCACTCAGGCCTGCTAACGTGTCCCTTCCCCAGAGAGCCTTCTCCGAACACCCCATCCCCACAGCCTCCCCATCGCTCCCTCTCCCCTTCATTCCTCTCTGTCGCAGGCGTCCTGCTCTGACGTCATCGGACCCTTTGAGCCTCTGTGTAGCTGGTCATTATCTGTGTTCCACACTGAAGCGCAAGTTCAGCGAGGACAGAGGTTTGGGCAGCTTTGTTCACTGCTGTTTCCTGGTGTCTAGAGCGCAGCCTGGCCCGCGGTAGGTGCTCAGTAACTACTTGTGTTAAAATCAACCTGGGAAAGGGGGAGACAACACCTCCTCCGCACTGTGCTGTGATTGTTAAAGTAGATCATGTATTTATAGAACATATCGTAGGGCCTGACTTGAGGCAATTTTTTCAGTGAAAGTCATTGTCGTGACCTTTCCTTCAGTCGTGCCCCTCCCCCACACTCTGTGACTTGCTAACACAGCAGCAGCTGCCCAGTCACCCGTGGGGAAAGCTGGGGGTGGTGTCATCCACGCTGCTTGCCCAGCACTCCTGTTCTCCTGCCTTCCTGGCACCAGGAATGATGGACCTTCTGGCCTCCCAGGGTTTGGGGGGAGTAGTTGAGTAACTCGTTCTGGGCAATTTGTGGTGAACGCAAGTGCTTGCTATGGACTGAATTGTGTCCCCCTGGAATTCATAGGTTGAGGCCCTAACCCCCAAGATGATGGTGTTTGGAGATGAGGCTTTTGGGAGATAATTAGGGTTAGATGATGTCTTGAGGGTGGGGCCCTGATGATGAGGTTAGTGTCCTCATGAGAAGAGATACCGGAGCTGGCTTCCCCTCTGTGCCCACCCTCACACACGAAGGAAAGTGCACACGAGGACCCAGCGAGAAGGCGGCCACCTGCAAGCCAAGGAGAGAGCCCTCACTGGGTGCCAACCCTGCTGAAGCCTTGATCTGGGGCTTCTAGTCTCCAGGACTGTGAGAAATGAATTCCTGTCGTTTAAGCCACCCCACCTACAGTATTTTGTTACGGCAGCCTGAGCTGCCTGACAACTCTGAGCTGGAGCATTTAATGGTGTTGTGAGACCCTCCAGTATTCTCTGTGGATCAGCTCTGCCGACTGGCCATGTGCCAGACGGCGGCCACTCCGCTGACCTGGGTCCCTGAGTGAAGACCATGTGGGGCAGAGCCTCAGTGGACGTAAAGCCTGGGTGCCAGATCTTTGTTGGTTTGGGGGCTGCTTGTTCTCGCACCAGAGCCTCACTTATCCAGATGGATAACGTTACAGGGGATGGTCGGGTTATGCCTCAGTCACAGGGCAGAGCGATCCCTCCTCAGGATGAAGAAGGGCTTGCTGTTGCTGGCTGAATTCAGGCCTTGCCCCTTCTCCCCTGGCTCCTGGGGAGGATGACAACATGGACGCCAGCAGAGACCTCGTTTCCATGCCCCACTCATCCGCACGCCAGCTGTGTGACCCTACACCGGGCACCGCCCTTTCTGCGGTTCAATTTTTCTCTTTTGACCTGCTCAGGATGGCGGGAACATCCCCCTCCATCCCCCGCTCCTAACGCACACCCAGGTTCTCGAGGTGGCGAGTGTGAGAGCACCACAGGAGCACGGGCCTCCGTGGAAACGAGGAGCCTGGATGGGCGGCTGCACTGGGGCCCTGCCAGCCCATGGCTCTGGGCTCCTTGATTTCCTGGCCCCTGCAGCCTCCTGGGAAGGCAGCCGTGGACACTCAGAAACATTAACACCCTCAGGCGAGGAGGTGTGAGGAATTGGCCGTGTCTCCTGGTTTGCTCGCTGTCACACTGAATGCAGGCTCCAAGCCTGGCTGCTCCGTCACTGTCATCAGACACCCGCTCCGAGCCAGCACCCGAGTCTTTCCCACTAACGAGGCTTTTCCCGGGTCTCCAGCCTTTACCCCAGTCTTGTTTCTCTTTGCTCTTCTTGTCACATCCAGGAGAAAGCCGTGCTCAAGGTGTCTGTCAACCAGAGGAAAAGCTAAGTCTTGCTGAGGTGAAACTCTCTAAGGGGCTGTCTTTCTGATTTGTTCCTTTCTGGGGGCAGAGTGTTGACGGTGGTCCTGCGGTCCCGGCCCCTTCCTTTCGACTGTGTGTGGCGTGGCCTGCAGGAGCTCCTAGACTCGGGACTCCATTGCGTCGGCTGGGTGATCCCTTGAGGAAGACAGCGTCAGTCTACGAGGAGAGAGCTGTTGACAACTCACTGTGCAGGTGATATGAGACTAAATGCAACTTTGGATGGTCTCAATGGAGCCCGTGGCCAAGACATTGTTCCCCAACCGGTCCACGTGCTGCCCTGCATTTCCCAGCCTCTCTTGCAGGTAAGTTCACGCCCGTGTCTTGCTATGACCAAGGACTGTGAGCAGAAGTAACATGTGTCACTTTCCGGGTGACGTGGTAAAGAGCTACTGTGACTCCTCCATCCCTCTCTTCCCAGTCAGGGGACCTGGGGGCTGCCTGTTCCAGATGGTGTAGCTACAAGGTGGAGAAGGGCTGGCAGACCCACGTCAGACTGTGAGGTGGCTGAGAAGGCAGTTTAGCCCTTGGATTTTGGGGCATGTCGCGGGGTGGGGGCAGAGATCCTCATGCCGACTGAGGAGGGCCTGGGGGAATGTAAGCTCCGTGTGGGCGGGGCCTTGTCTGTTTCAAAAAGCATAAACAAACCTGTGACGAATGACTGGGTACGGTTTCTGTTTGAATTCCCAGTGTTTCCTCACTGGCAACCAGCGAGAACCCTTTACCCAGGCGCAGCGGCAGCAGAGGTCTCTGCTCTTCCCACTCTTCTTGCCCGGCCCAGGCTCCACGGGCTGTCGCTTCTGAGAGTCCCTGCTGCTCCTGCTCCATGCCACTTCCCTCTGGCATAGGCCTTTCCAGCATCTGCCCTAAACCCGAATCTTCCTCAGTAGCACTTCTGGGGAGCACGCTTGCCCCTGTGACATATCTGCCACGAACCACTGGCTTGGGGGCTTCCCACACCAATTTCCCCTGGGGTTTGGTCCAAGGCCAACATGGGAATCTGACACATTGATGTTTGAGTCCACAGCAAGCCTGGATCCAGTAGACGCCACTGGTGCCACTGGGTCATTCCTCACTGGGCAGTGCTCACGTGCTTCTGAATCTATCAGCAGGCTCAAGTTTTGTGTTTCCAAATGAACCTCCTAGACTAGCCACTAGGGGACTCGTTCTAAAGTCCAGGCTGGCCCATCCCTCTGTTGCTGAAGAACGGGGTGGTGCCTAGAGCAGGGGTCCCCAACCCCGGGGGCTGCGGACCGGTATCGGTCCATGGCCTGTTAGGACCTGGGCCACACAGCAGGAGGTGAGCGGGGTGAATGAGCTTTGCTGACATTACTGCCTGAGCTCCGCCTCCCACATCCCTCCGCCCTTCCATGGAAAGATTGTCTTCCACAAAACCGGTTTCGGGTGCCAAAAGGTTTGAGAACCACTGCCTTAGAACATGGGCTCCAGAATAAGACTACCTTAGTTCAAATCCCCCTTGCACCACTTAATGGCTGTGTGACCTTTGGTATTTTACATAGCCTCTTTCTGTCTCAGTTTCCACAACTGTTAATGGGGAAACTTGGAGTGGGAGGAAGCCTCTCCCAACTCTAAATCATGAAATAATAGTGTGGCCACTCTTTGAGCATTGCTCTGTGCCCAATACATGGCTGTCACCATCAGAGGTTTAGAAAAATCCGCTGACTCTCCCAGGCCCCTGGGAAGTGGGGCTCAGGGAATGTGCCCAGGCATCACCACGGCCCCTGCTCTTGGCCGCCTCCAGAGTGACCCTCCCTCTGTGGGTGGCCCAGAGTGACCTAGGCTTGATTCACCCTCCGGCCTCCAGGGCTCACTCACTCGGTGCCAGCGCCGACTGGCTCTGACCCTCAGAACGTGCTTCTTCCCTTGAGTGCGAGCCTACCTCCTGGAGGGTTCTGCTTGCTTCCAGTGCTTGTTTGGCCCTCTGGAGCCACACGGTGAGTTTAATCTCCACAGTAACTGCAACATAAATTTAATAAACTCCATTAAAGTGTGTAATCTCATACACAGGGTGCAGAATCTCTGTGCTTCAGATGGTTTTTCATAATTACTAGCACCACGGAAATTGCAGGGATTAGAGACTCGACTGGAGCTGGGGACAGATGGCGTCACCAGCAAAGTACAGATGAACGGAACCCCACACACCGAAGCAGGCTGAGATATGCATTAAATCAGAGGCAAGTCTGCATCCATTAACTCCCTGGGGACTGACCGTGACTCTCCAGGGTTTGGTCAGGAACCAGGGAAGGGGTGGGGGAGGCAGGGGTAAGTGTGGAGTGTGGTGATTTGGTGGCAGCCTACCTTTAACAAATTGACTCGTTCTCCATGGCAGAGTCCATCAGGGCTAGTCCATTTTCCAGGTCAGGCAGCATGCCTCCCCCACCGTCCCTTCTCCACCAGCGCCCATGCCCGGGAAGGGACCTGCTCGCCATCACACAGCTGCTCCATGGGGACGGGGACCATAATATAGGCTTGCTGCTGCTATGTCCAGTGACCTCCCCATTAGTCCTGGTCCCTGTCAGTTCTGATAAAAAACGTGTGTGCTACCAGACTCATCAGGTCAGCAGAAAATGCCATTTTGTTAAAAGACCACTGTCCTTTTCGTGCACCCATGTGATCCCACGAGGAACCGTGGGGAGAGCAGGAGGGAGTAGGGCCTGGCTCCTCCGAGCTCTGGTCTCATTGCCCGGCGTGCGCGCACACACACTCACACACACTGTCTCTCTCTCTCTCTCTCCCCGCGCCTCCCATTGCATACACACATGCTGATTGATTTCAGCACCATCCCCGCTAAGTGTGGACCTTGCAATCTTATCCAGTAGTGGAGTTAACTCATGAGATGAAAGCTATTTGCTACGCTCAGTCTATAAGCTCCATCAACCAAGAGAAAAAACGCATAATTTGTGACTTTTTATTTTTTTCCCCCTTAAAACCCACTATTGAGCATCAACTGTGTCCATTAGCGTGCGAAGTGCTATAGTAGACTTATTGCAAGAATGGCCACAATTCCCATCCCTCCCTGCAATCATGCCTTTTGCAATATGACTTTGCAGTTTCTTCCATCAGGTGCAGGAGTGTATTTCCCTATCCTTCATACTGGGTTGGCTTTGCAACTTATTTTGCTTGGTAGAATAGGGTGGGAATGATAGCATAACAGTTCAGAGCCTGGGCCCTAAGTGACCCTGCATTCTTCCACCCAATTTCTTGGAACCCTGCTGTTGCCATGGGAACAAGCCTGGGCTAGCTTGCTGGAAGATGAGAGACCCCATGGCCCAATCATTCCATCACCCCAACTGACAGCCAGATAACTGTCATTCATTTGTGTAAGGCCATCAAAGACTGACCAGCTCCAGCTGACCCGCCAGCCTACCATAGACAAGGGAGCAAGTTCAAGTGGGATCAGTCAAACCTGTTCAGACAAGAGCATCCCCCAGCTATGTTGCACACTCAAGAACTAAATAAGTGCTCATTGTTTTAAGACAGTAAGTTTTGAAGTTCTGTAGAAAAATGCAGCCACAACTAACATGCACTGTCTAATGTATTTCCTTCAACGATTTTATGTGATAACAGTAACCCCCATTTTACAGATGGGAAAGTCAAGGTTCAGAGAAGTAAAGACTTGCTTGAGGTCATCCTGATGGTAATCAAAGAGCTAGAATTTGGCGGAGGTTTTTCTGACTCCTTTGTCAATGTTTAATGTAGCTAAAGAACCTGTAATACAGGAGTGACAAATAGGTTTCATTTCACTTACCAATGTCAGTTAGTTGGTAATGTTTGCCTGTAATGCAGTGTTGACAAGATACAGGGAAAATGAGAGAGTGCTGTGGTTTATTAGTGCTGTCTGCCGTGGGTGGTGAACCCAGAAGCAGCGGTGTGACTGCTATACATTTGCCATGTAAGTGCCGTGTATTCCAAAACCCATTGTATAAAAGGATGTTTGGCTGAGGTACCAGGATTTCCCCTTGGGGCAGTGCAGGGTGCCTGTGAGCACCACCTGCTCTTACCTAAGGTGACCACGCACTGTTGCCTTATATACAGACACTGGGTCCCCTAGTTGTCGGCTTTGCCGCTACCAGTATCTGGCCCAGAGCAATGGAATATTGCTCCCCTCTTAGGGTTGGTGTTAGGATGAAGAGATAATGGGTGAGAAAAGGAAACATTTAATTTCCACGTAAAAATGGTGACAACGACTTTTGAGTATTATTCCTCTCCCAAAGTCAACTAAAGACAGTAATAACAACACCACCAAAAGGAATGAACGAGTTGTTTCTTTTCCCCTTGATTTTTTAGTTGGAGTCAGAAATGACCACAGACCAAAGCCACGAGCTCTGAAGTTTTCCTGCCCCAATACTGTGACATCTGCCGTGGCACAGAGGAAGCCGCAGCCCTGGGCAGACACTATGTGTCTGCTTGTGGATAGGAAAGCTGAGGGTTTGTGGGATATGCCCCAAACCTGAAAATTCTCCAGAAATCCTTGGCTGAGGGCACAGAGACCCAGACATCCCCCCCAGAGTCTTGGCTGGGGCCACCCTGCCCACTGAGTGTCGAACCCCGAGCTGTGCTCCCACAGCAAAGGAAACCACTGATGTGGGGGGAGTGCGAGAAGGTACACCCGAATGGAAGCTGCAGGCTGCCCGAGGCCGTCCCTCCCACCCCTTCCCACACTTCCCTTCCGTGAAGAGCTGGCCCCGCTCAAAGGTGAGGTAAAGAGACCAGCACAGGAACTGTGCACCGATGCTGTGAAAAGGGAGAAAGGGGACATAAAGGCAGGTGAGGAATGCACACCACAAGAGGGATCGCCCAAAGACATCAGGGAAACAGTTGTTTGTCACAGCCTCCATTAATTTCAAATGACACAGCGTTTCTTTAAAAGGACTCAAATAAGAAATACGAGGATCGAAAGAGGTGACTTCAAGTAACAGCACGAGGTGAAAATCAAGCTGGCTGTCCTCAGGAATGAAACAGAAGGAAGGGAGAAAAAGAAACAGAAGAGATTAAAACCACATTAGCAACGCCAGTGAATAAAAGGGGTGTGACGAACTGTGATAAGGAACACTGTGGATAAGCTGCAGAAAGTCATACAACATTCAACAGAAGAGGAGAGCCTTTTCTGGTGTCCAAGATTAGGGTGACGAGGGGCATACAAGACAGACAGAGGTTATCTAGCAAATAAACCTTGTATGGGACAAGTGGTCTAAAAAATTTCAAATTATACAGAAAGTCTGGAAAAGTCATGAATCTGCCACCCCAAAGTGCATACAATCACCCAAGAAATTTTGCTGAAGAATGACCAGCTCTGAGACAAATCTGAATGAAATAATTGAGCTTCAAAAATAAAAGATTCATCTAGTAAATAGGTCACATCACAACAGGGGGGAAGTCAGGTGGGCATGAATGTCTCCATAATGACGCCAGAAGACACAGTGAGGCCACGCCCACAAGGTTCTGAGGGAAAGAAAATACACTCCGTGAGTTTCATACTCAGCCAAGCTGTCTTTCAAGTAAATAGGCAACACATTCTCCAGTGTGCAGAGCTCACCAAACAACATGCACAAGTCTTTCTGGAAAAAATATCCCTTCAAAAAATTTGAAATGCAAAAAGAATATAAGGAAGGCAAAGATGTGGGTAAAAATTAAAATAAAAAAGAAGAAAGGCAGGCAGGTAGGCAGGAAGCACTGGGGCTGAGAACAGGCTGCATTTAAATGCAGCGCTCACCCCAGATTTCCATGCGAATTGTGCTTCTGCAGCAGCATGAAGTGTGTAAGGCCTGACAAGGGAATGGTCACATTTTAAGGGACAGTGTAAGTGTAATAAGAGCACTAACTTCCTAACCTTTAGTACAAGGGAGTCAATACAGTCAGTCCACAATCAAAGCAAAGTTCTTTTTAAAGCATAACCACAACATCTTAACATTTTATAAGTTTTCTTAACTGCCACGCCCTCTTCCAACCATGTTTTTTGACAAGGTCTGAACATGGAAAGAGGGCATTCAAGGAATCCATCTTCCTGGAAGAGGGCGTGGCATACAAAGGGGGGCGGTAACTTTTCTGGGGATTGCTTTTAATAATTTCCCTGCTAATATTAATCATGGTCTTACTTTGTACCCTGATTCCCATAAGAACAGGACATGAGAAGAAGGAGGCTCGAAAAGAGTCAATGATTGATTTTGAGGGAAATTCTGAAGGGACAACTAGTTCTCCCTAGACTATTGAATCATGCCCAGATTGTTTTAAACAAGGAGTTTATAAACCTGAGTAAAAAATTATCCCCGATTGTTCCCATAAAAGAATTCATAAATCAGTTACAATAGGTTGAATTATTGGCGGACTTTCCCATGCCTGTTCCTTACCCATAGATACAAAGAGTCTTTCTATAAAACAAGAAAAAAACTATATAGACCCCTACCCACAGCTCAGGGATATCCCTGGGTAGCATATTAGATTATTGGCAAATTATGGTATCCCCCAAAAGGAGCTAATGGTCTCCAGAGGGTTCCAGATCTTCCATTGCCTTATACAGGAGCATATAATGAGGGTGGCATTAGAATGGTCAATAAGGATGAAGTTCAAGTGCCTTATAATAATCTAAATTTCATGGAAAGGCTAGCTCGAAGCAGACCTCCCTGGTGTTTATTAACTAAGAAATAAAAAGAGTTTATTGTAGCTAAATTTCCTGTTTATCTCTCCTTACCTGTTTGTTTTGGAGATTAAAAGGTGGTGGGATTGTCAGATATCTGTATCTCAGGTTTATTGATTTGCATAATTCCAATGAAGTTGTATAAAATAATTTCTTGACCAAAGAATAAAATCCCCTCTAATGAAATAGCCCCTGAGTGTCTAAAAGTTGTTGGAGTAACAGCCCCGCCTTTACCTTGAATAGGAGTATATATCAAATAGAATTAGACAGGCAAAGAAATAAGAAAAGCTGGTTAACTATTACAAACTAAGCACGTAGAAACAGTTACCAGGGAGTTAGAGTCTATGGTACATAGAGAAATATTTTAGACAGAAAAGGTGAATAGGTAAGTTAGACATCACAAAGGCCTTAGAATAAATTTCCTAAACCTCTATTCAATTTAGCGTATCCTTTTGCCCCATGACAAATTCTGAGAATTTTAATAAACAATAAGACATTCAAACTCTGTACATACAGCTATTTCTAATTGTCTGATTTATGGCTCTCCTGGTTAAAATAATCTTTGTTTAATATAACTGAATCTATGGGAATTTTTGTATTTTTCCTGGTTACCTTTGTATTAATTTTTTTCTGCTTCACCTAACTGCAAATGTCAATCACTGCTAAAAATGAAAGTATAAAAACCTGCTTGTACTTGCAATAAACGGAACAGAGCATCACCGTCCTCTGAGGCATGTTGTCGTCTGTCTCCCATCGCCGACGCCTTACCCACCTTTCAGGAACCCCTGGACCCAGCTGCGGCTGGACCGCGGCACTTAACTATGAACTTATTTTAGGAAATAATATCTCCTGTGAAGCCACATTTATTTGAAGTTAATATTCATTTCAGCTTGACCTCAATTTAAAAGTTTTCTGTTAAATTATATTTAATATGCTTTTATTAAAAATAACTTGTGTAATTTCATTTTGCCTCATCTATCGTTCCTTCTATGTAATTATATGCATGGAGAGGTGCTTAGAATGAGACCCACCAAATATTGAACTTATTTTTTGGTAATGTTTCATATTGTATGGATGTTTTATACTAGGTAGTTGCCATTTTCACAAAATAAACATTTATTTAAAATTATTTCGGTGGCGTGAGTCAGATCTCAGATTGCGTCATGCTCAGTGAACTCAAAGCTAGTGTTCAGACAGCCTCCCCTCAGACCCTGAGGCAGGGGCTCTTGTTAATGGCCACTCTCCAGGTGAGGAGACCAAGGGACAGAGATGTTGAGTCACCGGTCCCAGGTCCCGCTGCTCTGAATGGTGGAGCCAGGATTGGACCAGGCTGTGGAGCTCTAACACCTGTGTTCTTAGGCACAGTGCTGTGGCCACTCCTCTTACCCTCTGTCTACCCTCCTCCTACCATCTAGGCCTCTAGTGGGTCATGTGGGGACAGCAGGAAGACTCCACCCAGCAGCCAGGTGTATGGTCATCTACAAGCATCCACCACAGTCAGCCGCAGTTGACCACAAAGTCGAGGTGGGGGGTGGGCAGCAGAGCTGCCTGGGGAGATTGAAGATCGAGCATTTGGAGGTGGGGTCAAGCCCTGACTTAATCCCATGATGACTGTGTGACCTTGGGCCAGCCACTTGATTTCTCTGGGCTGTCCTTTCTGCCTGGGATTTGGTACCTCCCTGGTGCAATGGGGGAGGTTCAAGTGGATAAGAATATATTTTACAAACCTGAGCGGCAAGAGGGATTATTGTGAGCCTGGGGGTATCAGCGTCACCGTGGGAGCCGTTTCCTCCTGTTCTCAAGCAATCTCAGGGCACAGTAGGAAGCTCTCCTTTCCTCCCTTGGCCCTGCTTTTCCTAAACCAAATCCCTCAGCAGGTGAGCGAGTGAAAGCTATGATTGAGTTCATCAGTATTCCGCCCACTGTTTTCCATCCTTCCTGTGGCCTGAGCAAGGAAAGTCCATCCCTGCCTCTGGGAGTCCAGGTCTCAGCAGGCCCTCAGGTTCCTTAGAATCCTAGCATGTCAGAACTGGACTCCAGGAGCCATTGGGTTCACCCCTTTCACTGTGCAGATGGGGAAACTGAGGTCTGAGGGTAAATGATACCAACAGCAGTCATGTCTTTGTCAATGCCTTCAGCTGCATATGATGAGGAGAAAACCCATATCGAACTGACTTCAGCATAAAAGGGAGGTATTGGCATAGGTAACTCAAAAGTCAGAGTAGGGCTTCAGGGATGGTTTGATCAAGAGCTCAAATGATGTCACTATGTCCGAGTCTCTCTCTCTGCTCTGCTTCTGCCACACTGGCTCCGTCCTCAGGCCCTGTGTGGTGGCAAGATAGCTGCAGTGGCTTTTTTTGCCCCTTCAGGTACAATTTCAGAGGTGAGAACCATGCACCCCTGTCCCAGCACTCCAGCCAATGTTTGTTGCACCTTGTTTGCTCTCATTGGCCCATGGGACCATCCCTGAGCCAAGAGCTGTGGCTGAGGGGTAGTTATTGTCATACCCTGAACAGCTGTTTGGGCAGTGGGGGTTCTGGCCGCAGCACCACTGGGAGGATGGCTTCACCCCACCCAGGACTACAGACTGAGTGTGGAAGAAGAGGGGAGATTTTGATGCTTTTGATTCCTCCCCAGATCGAGAGCTGTTGTTGACATGAGGACATGGGTGCCGGGGGTGGGGTAAGGTGCAGGTGCCGCTAGAGTGCAGGTGCCGGATGGAGCACCCACAGCACACAGGTGCTGCTCTAAGCCCTTGGGACCCATTTTCACACATCTCACCAACTGCCACGTGGCATCCTCGTGAGCCGGGAGAAACTGAAGTCAGAATGCGAGGTGACCTGCTTAAGGACACACTAGGGAGGGTTTACAGCCAACTCACCAGAGTGCATTTAGAGACAGTCATCAAGGGAGGCAACAGGGTCTCAATCCTGGCAGGAAACGCTAGGAGGCATTTTAAAACAGGCCTCCCAGCTGCCCACCCGTGGGCCAGGGAGCTGGGGTGGGCGTCCTCCACGTCCTCTCCCAGCCTTGGCGGAAGGCTGACTGCCTGGCACACGGGAGAGAAAGTTCGGAAGGAGACTCCAGGGCACGTACTTGCCAGAGCACACTAGAGGTGGGGTCCAGGGTGGGGACCGTGGAGGGACTGTGCCTCAGACTGGGATGGCATTTGCTACGCATACGATTGTCAGAGGGGGTGACACCTTCTTTCTCTTTCCAGTCATGCCCTCCTCTGCTTTCCTGGTCAACCCCTCTGCCCGATCAGAACCCATTATTGCCGGGGCCAGGGTAACTGAGCTACAAGGCTGGAGCCTCTGTCTCCCACCTGCGGTCACTGCCGGCTGGAGGGCAGATGTAGGCAGGACCCGCCCCTTCTTCCCCACTTTGTTCAAAAAGTCACTAGGTGGGGGAGCTGGCCCGGAGACCACCAGGTTGGCCCTGTGGCTCCCCCTTCCCCTCTGGAACTTCCCTCCTCCTTGTGGTCAGCCGAAGGTGAACCAATCACAGAACTCACACAGAAGCAAGGTAGGAAGGCCCAGCTAAGCCTCGGGCCTAAGCAGGAAACCTGTAAACAGGACGGAGTCCCTAGAAGAGGCACCGTCTGGGCTCCGAGCGCTTGGCCACACACAGCGACCCGGAGCAGAGGGCGGGAGAAAGTGCGCACTTGGCAAGACAAGACGTGGTACCGTGAGCAGGACCCTGCCCTTGCTGTGAATTGTCCTCCTGGCTGGGTTGTTGGGACACCTTCACGTGGGCTGCCGACAATTCTAGGGTGCTGTGAACCCAAAATATTGAGAACCGTCCTGACCTTGGAGGGTCGGCAGCTGTCCCCTTGCTCCTCTGCTCTGGGCTGTGTGGCCCATGGCTGCCCCAGCTGGAGGGGGCTGGGAGTCCTCAAGGGCAAAGTGACCTTGGAGCGCCCCTCCCTGTGCCGCCCCCCCCAGTTCCTTCTCCACTCGCGGGCCAGGGCTCAGGGCCGGGAGGTTAATGGGAACCTGGAAGGAGCGGGCGGGTGGGAAATTGCTGTTATGCTTTTTCCTTCCTTCTGCTGCTGCCACCCCCTGTCCACATCCACACATCAGGCCAGGGCTCGGGCTCGTAATTTCAAAGTCCTTTTAACATTTCTGGGTGAGAGTTTTATTGCTTTCATCCAAAGGCCACTTCAAATTTACGCAGCGAAGAGGAGGTGCAGTGCGATCTTTAGAGAGAGGTACCGGGCGCACAGGGAGCCTGCAGGTCTGGTTCAGTGGCTCTCAAACACTCACGCCTCCCACTCTGTCGTCCAGCAGCCCGGGCCCAGGGTGCAGACTCGTCTGCATCGGGTTGTGGGACGTGGTCCTGCTTTCCCAGCGTGCCCGCGGTCAGGGCGGCGCTGGTGGCGGTTCCAGGGCCTGGGCAGAGCGGGGTGCC